GGAAGAAGGGTTCTCCACCCCTTCAGCTGGTGTCTAAACAGGTCATCACCATCGGAATACCAAACCAACTTCTGTCCTCTTCATCAAATTAGGAGCCTCCTACCTATGCTCTTGTGCCTGTTCTTGTCCACCCTTTACCTAGTCTTTCACCACCTGAGGCCAGAGCAGCCATTGTATAATGCACATGTAATGTTGTCATCCACCATTTGAAATCTGATGGCCCCTCCACACAGTAGATCTTGAGATACAAACCAAATGGCTAACATGGCTTTCAGGTCTCTGTCTGACCTAATCTCTTCTTAGCCCCTTTACTCTTGAGTTTCATGTTTCTCTAATCCCTACTCCTGCATTCTGTACTCCAGCCTTTGAGGCAGTACTCTTTCATAGCCTCAAGGGGAAGAAACCTTGCCCTCCTCTCATGTATTTGTTTCTGCTTGGACAACACTGATCATCCCTCTTCCTTGGCAGTGCCTTGCCCCCAAGCCTTAGTGTAGTCATCCTTCCTGTGGGAAGTTTTGCTTTCTCACCTACAGTGCTGCCACTCCTCTCTAGAATCTGCCCTTTCAACTTCCTCTGCTCTCTCTCCTTGCTTCTCATACTACTTTCTACACTGTTGACCTCTCCTGTTGGTTGGATGTTCCCCCTCACAAGATGTCAGCCTCCTTGAGGGCAAGGGCATCTCCATCTTATTTATCTTTAGATTTCTTTCCAGCACTCTGAGTAAAGATCATCGAAAGAAAATGATAAGCCGTGTTTGTCTTTGTACTTTAAAGCATTTTGGTAAAGTTAGCTGAAAGATGAAATTGGTAACAAAGTGAATTCTGATTGTTGGACCTAAGAAGCCAAGGCTGAAATGAGTGGGACTTGTTTTTTCCTGTGGCCCCTAAAAGCCTGAGGGAACCATGTGTGCTCCCCACCAACCATGCCCTCAGGTCTGTTGGTCCTCAAAGGACTAATTATACTTCACCTCAGCAACGATTTGACCATGGAACTCCCTGTACCATCAACACTGAAAATATTCAATCTCTAAAGTCTCTAAAATGGATTTTTATGAGGCCTTCTAACAGGTCTAACACTATACTGTAATTTTTGAACAATGGAAATATGGCATTTCCAATAAGCAGTGGAAAAAAGGAATTCTCATGGTTTTGTTTTTATTCACGTATTACACATTTCTTGCTAAAATATTAATTAACTGCAGTGCCTTTTAATGTTTTGATCCGTTTTGGCAATTATCCGTATTAGGAGAAAAATTAAAACTGGGCTGAATTGAATCTTTGTCTTCTAGAAGTGGCTATTTGTGATCCATTCTCTGAAATATATTTAGTTTGAGAGTTCCAGGTGATAAAAGGGATTTTTAAAAATGTATTTGCCTTATTTTAAAAAAAGTCATGATATAAAGCAAGTTGTTTTGTTTTTGTTTTTGTTTTAAACTGGTATGTATCAGGTGATTATTGCCAGTTAGGCTAAGAGCTAATAAGAAGCTGACATTTGGATTTAGTTTAGTTCCTTTAGGGAAAATTTAAAGTTTTGTGATACAGGGGCTATTATCCTGCCAGTTGTAAGGGATTTTTGTGTTGGGCAGCAGAGCTGACAAAGACTGCACTGTGCATGCTGCATCTATAACTGAGCACTTTCCCACTGCAATTTAGGAGGTGTGCAGTTCAGGAAATTGCTGGCTTTGGCTGGAGCAAAGTTTTACTGCAAGGAAAATTTTATTCGTCACTTAAGTAATTGACAGTTTTAATACCTTGTTCATAATTACCTTATAAACAAGCGAATATATAAACTAAAGATTGTATGGTCTGTTATCTAACTTGTAGCCTTATTTCACCAGAGTAACAGACACCTGTGGTTCTTCCTCTCCTAAAAAAGTAATTTGCTTCATTTATTGCAAAAATCTATAGCTGAGGATTTTCTTTTTGTTGTTGTTAAATACTATGTAAGAGTAGCTGTAAGGCTGCAGACAGCCTGAGGGCCAAATCCTGATGCAGAGTTTGAAGGGAGGGGTGGGTAGGGTCGGGGTAGGGACTAGAGAAAGGGGGTACTGGGACACTTCAGGTGACTTTAATTGGTGGGAGGACATCCTTGTAAAACAAACATTGGGTTATATATTTAAGAGAAAATATCAGATTCCCCAGGCGTAGTGTTGTTTAATCCATACACCCCAGCCCTAAGGCCTTGTGGCTTGTCTCTTGGACTGAATCCATCTCCGGGACCTGGAAATTGACTGATTGTCTCACTTCCATTACCCTGTACCCCACAGCTAGATCAAGGAGTTTACACATTGGTGACTCCAGATGTGGGAAATGGTCACAATCAGAGGTCATGGCTGACTTGACTCTACACAAACCTTGGAAGACTTTATAGGAATATGATGAGTTTGATGATTTATAAACAGGACTGCCAGTTCTTTTTTAAAATTTGCTGGCTATTATCGTAAAATATGGCTCTTATGATATACACTGTATATACTCATTACCTAGTATAGGATTATTTTTAAAAATTGCGTTAGATTATGTGATGTCTTGGGTTTTAAAGAACAGAAAAGATATCCCCATAGTCCTTATAAATGATATAGTGAGTGTTAACACTTTTGAATAGTTTTGTTAGTTTTTAAAATAAGGACTGTGCAGGCCATTTTCTCCCACTTACTGTTCTTTCTTGTGGAGAAAATAGCACCTGATATTTGCAAATATTCAGCAAGCGAACCTTTTAACTGACGAGTGCTGAACACACGCAAACTCCTGGGGAACCTCTCTTACCTAGGTAGGGTGGAAGCACAGATTGGGAGGGGGCCCATTCTGGGGCATTCTTCAGTGTTGGCATACTGATGGTTCAACAAGCCAGAGTAGGTTACACATCAGTTTGAGACCAGAAATTCTGCATTTTTGCAAGGTGAGAAGTATTAGAACTTTTGGCAGTACATCTCCAGTAAGAATGTAATTGGCAAGATATCTTTGATACACTGTATTTTATGAAACAGCCTTCAGTGATTGGTTTGGTACCAATCCAGACTTACTCTGTGAAGTGGCTCAGAAATGCTTAGACTTATGTGAAAAGCCCTAGTTTCCTAATTTTAAGATTATCTATCATATCTATGCCAGAGAAATTGTTTTATGATTAAATGGCATAATACATAAAAAAGTGTAGGGCCCAGTGCGTAAACTGTCCTCGGCATTACTAGGTTTCACACACATTCCAAGGCAGCTATAGACACACCTTCCTTCCAAGAATCTTGCAGTATGGCAGAGAAGACTAGCTGTGCACATGCTCTGTCAATCAGAATGCAGTGCAAGATTTTGTGAAAATCTTTGAGGTGTACCTAGCTCAGGAACCTTCTGAGGTAGTGAGAAACCTAAGTAGAAGATCTTAATAAACTCAAAACACTACAGAAATCCAGATAATGCTAAGAGAGATGCACATATGAAATACATTTTCAAGCTAAGAGAAATACACATGAGATATACTAAGTTTTCTCATTAAGTGAAAATCACCTGCATACTATGGAAACACCAGCATATGACTTATATGATAGAATTCTCCTTATAATATTCAGGTTGTTCCTTGAGGTAGAAAGAGATTATCTTTCTGTAATTTGTAAGTGGGATCTGATACCTTCCCTGCTTTTCCATTTTGGTGTGTTATTTTCCCCCACAAATGATGGTCTATAAAGAGCAAGCTATTTAATCTAATATGATAGTTAAGTTGGCTTGCACATTGCACATTGATTACTGATTTCTAACTAACAAAATTGTCACTTAAAGCTGAATTTTCCCGTGAGAGATATAATATTTAAGACCTTTTAAGAGTTTTGACTTGGCTTCTCTTTATTTCATGCTCCATTCCCCTCTCCTAAGTCCGGTGACACTCACCAGGAGGACTGTCCATGATGGTGGAAATATTCTATGTAAGAGGCTGCTGAACTCTTGAAATGAGGGTGCAATGAGTACAGAACTGAATTCTAGCAATTACTTTACATTTTAAAGAGCCACATGTGCTAGTAACTGCCATGCAGTTTAGGGTTGTTAATGTCCACAAGTCTTCATCTAGCTGTGCCCAGGGATTATTTAGGCTGGTGTGCTCTTGTATAATACTTAAAAAATATTAAAAGCCTTGGAGCTTCACCACTGATACAGAAGCCTCTGGCAATGCAATGAATATTACTATTGCTAAAACAAAACATTCTCTCTCTAGGATGGCTCTAAACAAGCCCCGTCTGATGAGTATTTGAAGTTCATTGACACCTGTAGTTTGAGTACTTTTCAAGAGAAGAATTAGATTAGGAATCAAGAAAAGAAATAGGGAATTATTGTGTTAGTACCTGGTCTGCCTACTTGGTGGGAGACATTTCACTTACTATTTAATAAAAAGAAGCACTACTAAAAAATAGCATCAACAATCAGTTGGTTTTAAGTACATAGAATTTAGATAACGACTTCTAAATTAGATCTCATATTTGTGTATGGTGGTTTTTATATATTTTAATACCATTTATGACTCAGTACATAAATTAAAGTAGACATGGTATCGCTACTTAACTTTTTAAAATACTATTTAAATACCGAATAGTTTCTCTAGTATGAAAAACTGAAAGTAAGGACTAAAAGGTATAATAGATAATGTGAAATAGGAAGAAAAGGGGCAAAGGGGAAGGGGGAGTGGGAGGGGTAGGGGAAAGGAAAGAAGGGAATGGAATTAATATGAGGAAAGGAAAAAAATGGAAACAATGTCTTTGTAAATAGGGAGGGGTGGAGGGGTTGAAGGGAGGGCAAGGAATGGGGAAAAAATAAGAACCAAGATATATTATATAAAGGTACAAATTTCCAGTGGTGAATGTCATTATACCGTATACCTAAAATGTGCCAATAAAATTAATAAAAATACTATTTAGATCAGTTTTTCATATTTCTTAAGAACAAGTTAGGAATAAAAAATATTTTTCTCCTTTCAATTTGTTGTTACATAAAACCTGTTATCTGTGATGTCTTTAATTCCAGGGCTGGAAACAGGATTGCTGAGATATTATCCGATCATCTGAAACAATTTCAGTCCCTTGAAACTTTGGACTTGAGCAGCAATAACATTTCAAAACTTAAAACCACATTTCCACCCCTTCAACTCAAGTATCTGTAAGTGTAGTTTTCTTTACCAGAAATTGTCACCTCTAATGAAAATATATTATGTTACAATCAAAGGGGAAAAAAAACTTTAAGATATAATTCTCCTATTTTTCTGCTGGTGATTCACAAATGTAACTTTCATTTTCACTTAAAATTTGTTATAATCCTGAATAATCAAAATCTCTACATTTATGGATTACAAACAATTAGATATTCTTTGCCTAAAAAAACTATGTGGTGTGGATTTAGCTCAGTGGTTTCGCCGCCTGCTGCACAAGCACAAGGACCCGAGTTCAATCTCCGGTACCAAAAAAAAACTATGTGGTGTGAAAGTGCTTCTTTAAAAAAAAATAAGAGGAAACCATTGCTGTGTTTTTTAAATAACAAATTTCACAGAAAGTAGATATGTATCCATAACAAATTTTTCTAACTTTCAAAAGTCCCAATCAATCTTTGGCCCGCAGTGTGTGTGAATCTTTTTATTTTCTGTTTCTGATGTAGGAGATTGAACTGAGGGCCTCCCACATGCTAAGTCTGGGTTCTGCACCCCCTATTTGACTGTTAAACAACATTTCTCCTCAAGGATTTAAAAGGAAAGATTTTAAGTGCCCATTGGTTAAGTCTGAGGAGACTCCATAATAGAGTCTCTGGAGACTCTATACACTTTAACGTTTCAAAAAAAAGAAAGAAAGGAAACAGCTCACCTTGAAACTTTCAATAGGTATATCAACAGCAACAGAGTCACATCCATGGAACCTGGGTACTTTGACAACTTGGCCAGTACTCTCCTGGTGTTGAAGCTGAACAGGAACCGGATCTCAACTGTCCCACCCAAGATGTTTAAGCTATCCCAGCTGCAGTACCTGTGAGTCAAATGTCATCATTTCCTCCAAACCCTTGGTATCTGTGTACTGAAGTCCACAATGTGACAAAAGGAGCTTAGAAACAAGCATGTAGCTGCCTTTCCTTTGAGAGCTGGAGTTGCAGAATTTCCTCATTGAAAAGAGCTACCAGCTGCTGTCTTACATGACAAGTTAGATTGTTACTAGAAGAGCTAGAGCAATGTTATCATTGAATGACCCCCTTGCAAAGGTGCCATTGTGGCACTGAAGGAATCACAGGGGCTCTCAACAGCTGCAGTTTATGAGAAGAATACCAACAGCCCAGGGAGGCTCTGATAGCTTAAGTAGCTGTGGAGAACTGTGTTGTTAATAATGGTGGAATGATCTGTGAACAGGCTCCCACAATAGTGGTTTTCAACTTTGCCCACTGTACATTACAGAGACTTGGGGAGCTTTTAAAAATCCCAGCATCCAGGCCACACCCTAGACCAATTACATTAAAACCTCTGGGAGTAGGATCTAGGCTTCAGTAATAGTAGGATCTAGGCTCTCCAGGTGGTTCCAGTATTCAGACAAGGTTGACAACTACTGCGTACAAGAAAGCATTCAACCTAAAAAAGAGTCACAAAAGATAACTTTTTAAGCAGATTGAGCAGGATACTCCTGATTGCTGTGCTCTTGAATTGACCTCCTGTTTTAGTGTAGTGTTTAATGTCCTCATCCTGATCATGTAAACACAAATATTATTTGTTTCCTTTTATCCTGAGTGGATAATGATGTAGAAATTAAAGTGCAATCTACTTCCAATATTTTGTCATTCCAAAAATGCATCACATTTCAGAAAGAAATTTACTTAGCTGCTAACAAATTAATATTCTCAATAATAATGTTTCAAAATTTAAAATATTCTAATAATTTAGTACTGACTAGGTTAAATATATTGTAGTAATGGCACATTTGATTACTACCTCTAGAATTTAATGGTCAAATAAGCTAACTGTTTAATTGTAATATCCAATGCAGTGAACTAAACCGAAACAAGATTAAAAATGTAGATGGACTCACTTTCCAAGGGCTTGGTGCTCTGAAATCTCTGAAGATGCAAAGAAATGGAGTAACAAAACTGATGGATGGAGCTTTTTGGGGGCTGAGCAACATGGAAATCTTGTAAGTGGGTTATCATGGTTCCCATTCAGGCAATGTGATCGTAGAATGCTCAGTGAACTTTCATGCAGTAGCTCTTATTTGAAATCCTATGCTTATCTCATAATATGCAATCTTATTTATAATTTAGTGTTGAGTTTTATTTCAGATAAACCAATTGAGAGTTTATAAGCATATAAATTTTATAAGACTGTATATAGTATTTTTTGCTGATGTTTTCATATAGCAAAAGCCAAATATCTAGTAACAATAGGAAAATGTAATAGGTTGTAATCGTATGTCCCCTTTGAAGAGACTAGATAATGAACTCTGGATCCTCCCTTTGATTCTTATTGTGAATGTAGGCAGCTGGACCATAACAACCTAACAGAGATTACCAAGGGTTGGCTTTATGGCTTGCTGATGCTGCAGGAACTCCACCTCAGCCAGAATGCCATCAACAGGATCAGCCCTGATGCCTGGGAGTTCTGCCAGAAACTCAGCGAGCTGTGAGTTGCCTTTTATTCTCTTCAGATTGACAAGCAGGGATCATGCCAGAGCATGAGCTTCTTACCACTGATCTGTGAAATTTTCCTAACAAAGTTTCCAAGGTGACAGTTTTCTTCACATGCAACCTCACGTACTTCTGTTGTGATAAGTTGAAGCCCACTCTGATGTTTCAGTTGGTGGCACATTGGCAAAAGTACTCATAGTTAATTTTTTTTCATTACTCAGATTAGAAATAATGTTTACTAGAGTATTGTTAAAGGCAGAATTCTAAAGTGAGGATTATGGTAGTTACATTTATTACCTGGCTTTTTGAAAACAAATCATTGTGTTAAATGGAAAAACAAAGGCTATTTTTTAAATTTCTTTTTTCTTTACAGGGACCTAACTTTCAACCAGTTATCGAGGTTGGATGACTCAAGCTTCCTTGGCCTAAGCTTACTAAATGCACTGCACATTGGGAACAACAAAGTCAGCTACATTGCTGATTGTGCCTTCCGGGGGCTTTCCAGTTTAAGGACTTTGTAAGTTACACATTTTGCTCTTAGTACACGAACCTAATTGGTTCCTAAATGTGCCCACTTTTCTCCTAGCAGCTTTTCTTTGTTGTCAAGGAAATGTGTATAGCCTCAAAAGTAGGGTCTTAATCTTTCCCAGAACAGTTTGATTAAAATGGATCCATTTCATCCATATGTGTTTCTTAAAGGGATTACAAAAGACAGTAATCTGATTGTCTGGATGATTATCCTTCTTAGCCTTCTCAGGATCTCCCGGAAGTTAGTAACTGCTTAAGATGGAAACAATTTGAAATCCACTGCTTTTTCTTTATACAGTACAGATTTTAAAAATAGCGAGAGCAAGAAGATACACAAAAAGCGGTGAAGGAAGATCCTTGTTTATCAGTCATTTCCACAACCTGTTGTCTGTCCTAAGTGAGAGAAGAGGGTTGAATTAATTGTGCAATTGGGCTTTTGATTTTTCACACTGCCGGAAATTGGTGCTCTATGACCTGTTGTGGGCATTATATGATAGAAGGATTAACAGGGCCAAAGTCCACTGTCTTGATTTGGGGCAAAAACTTTAAATGTTGTTAAGGGAAGAGAGCAGTGTTAGAGGGATGGTAAAAAGCTGAGTTTATTACTTTGAAAGGCGTGGAGATGATAGGGGGAATTACGAAGAATTTGTTACAATTGACATGCCACCTGGATGGAGATCTTAAGTTTCTGAAGCATATCGCTAAAGAGAATGCTGTTTTAAATTAGGGATCTGAAGAACAATGAAATTTCATGGACTATTGAAGACATGAATGGTGCTTTCTCTGGGCTTGACAAACTGAGATGGCTGTGAGTACAATTTGCCTTATAATTGGGCTCACTCTTTGACTTAAAATTTTTGTCTAACATGAAGTTAACTCCATAAATTGATATCATAAAGAGATTAGAAGTAGATGTGTAATCAATCTGATTGCCGCCTTTATCATTTCCCCTAAATGAATGCTGTTGCATAAAATATATGTGTATTAATTGGCTTTTCTTCTTGGATAAAAGGAAGACAATTAAACACTTAAGTATATATACCTTATTTTAGTAACTAAATAAGAACTTTAGATTATTTTGAGTGGTTAGATTTGGGGAATTATCACTGTGTTAAAATGAATGCACTTATAAACTTGAACATTGTGAAAACCTCAGCATTGCAAACTGCTCACAGCCACTTTGAGGTGAAGTAATCCATCGTCCATTGATAATGCTGCAGTAGGCTCCAGGAATGTAGGATAAAAACATTTTGTATTTAGCTTTAAAAAGGTCTTACAGATGGCCATATTATATTTTAAGCTGCTGATAAAGGTACCCCCAGATGAGAAGGAGAAGGAGCAAACCTCCACTAATAACTTGCTTTGCCGGAAATACTTCCCTTGAAATACAAGGAAATGGATCAGTCTGCTCCTAAAAAGACTGAAAAACAGTGTTTTAATGTAACCATCAGAACAACTCATGCATACCATTTTTGCCAAGTTCTCTGTTGAATTCTTTGAAAACCATGTTGAACTATATTAAAAGTAAATGGCAAGGCTACATTTTTACAAATGTTGAATTGGAGAAAACGGAATTGTTCACAAATGATTAAAAAAGCCATTCCTTTAGTAAGTGTTCCACTCCCAAAATGGCTTCTTTTAAATTAACTGTTCCAATATGTTATTGTTGTTCTTTTTTCTCCCTAGAACACTTCAGGGAAATCGGATTCGATCTATTACCAAAAAAGCCTTCACTGGTTTGGATGCATTAGAATATCTGTGAGTAGCTGGGATTTAGTTACCCTAGAGGTAGTCTAAAATGGATGTCTAGTCATGTGTCAAGAAAGATAAAACAAGCTAGAATGTAATTTTGTTGGCATTCTCCTGGTGGTAGCATAAAATACATTTACACATCTACCAGCCATCTATTTCTGTATCTGTGTATGTGTCTACCTATTTGCCTACCTATTTCCCTATTGAACTACCTATCTGTATCGAAGTTTATATGTATATATTTACCTGTGCATTTAAGTACATTGCTGTAATTCATTGTTAGACAACTCCTCACAATCCTGAAGAGTGACATTGGAAGGCTTAAACACTATATTGAGAATTTTTGTTGCTGGTGCTTAATATAAAATGAACAACCCCATCATCACCACCACCACCACCACCACCACCACCATCGTTCTTCTTTGTCACTGACCCATCAGTTACTGACTATCGTACCGGCAGAAATAGGACTCAAGGCAGAGCTGCCTCTGTCTTCATGGAGTCCCTGCCTCACTGTAGCTCTTGCCAGACCAATCTCTGCCCCTAAAGAGGAACTCCTGGCACGTATATCTAAAATGAGACTTAGGGCTTCAAGATTTTCACTCAGTGGGAAAGGAAAGCTAGCAGATGTCAGGAGGAGCACAAACTTGCCTGAACTCTGTGTTTTGACTAATTGAACCAACAAACCAACCATCGGTGTATATTTTATACTTGTATAGTAAAATTATAAAGTAATATATGTATCTGCTTGTACTCTTAAGGAATGCTTGTGGTCAAAAGTTGTAATGTCTTTTAACTTGAACAAAAGAAGTTATCATTTAAAATACACATATGGTTTGCTGTTTCCTTTGCACTTTGTATTGAGAGTGAAGATTTAGATGTTATCTATAAATCACCTGGTAGTCATCTTCTGACTGCACCAGTTAGTTTGAGGAAGATTTGGATCGCCAGACCTGATGGTACAGCAGAGAAAATTGTAGTAGTACTTTAATTCTGCAAAGCTATTTTGGAAGGGTGGGCCAGTATTGCTGTACTTATTGAAACAGATGATTTTCAAAGGAAAACTAGCCAGAGGGTTTGTCATCTGGCCCCTTGCATTTTTGGGAAAGTGAAAATAGTGGCTCAGTGGACTGTAAACCTCCATTTCGTTTTTCTTTAACCTTCCTTTACTCGCCTAGCTTCTTTCCCTACCCATGTTTGGCATCTGTCTCCTGTTGCTACTTGTCTCATTCAAAAATCCCTTTTGTATATTTTGACCTCTGTAAAGAAACAATAGCAACCACTGTGGCTAGTACTTTAATCTGCTTATAAGTACTGGTTAAAAAGAAAATCAGCCCGGAATATTCTTTTATTTGTAAAATGGCCCGTTTGGAGTGTTTCTTTTAAGAATCATATCTTGCCTGAACATCTTACTGCCTTTATTTTAGTGAACTGTGTGTGGCAGAATTATGCTGGTGGTTAAAAGCATAGGTTTTAAAACTGATTCAGCTCTAACTTTCCCCTTTCATGCTGAACTACATGCAATGCCATCTTCTTTTGGGCTGCTCTAGGGATAAATGCAGTAACACATAACTCACTTAACAGAGTGCATTTTATAGAAAATGTTCTATGGATATTGATTTAAAGAACACATGAGAAATGTTATTTGTTTATTTAAGCAGTAGTTACTAATTTAGTAATGAGAAATATACTAAAACAATATAGCAGAATAGCTTGGACCCTTAGGAGTCAAGTAACCTGTAAGTGTAACAAAAATGACACTCAACAGAATCTATCTCTGAGGCAAATATCCTTGGTCCTCAATCCAAGCTTTGTGACGGATGCTTCCTGGAGGTGCCTGCCACATTCATGTATTTCAGCACTTTGAGCATTTGCTTGGTGAATGGAGTGGGCAGTGTGGCCCAAACTTTGCCTGAAGACACAGAACGACCGTAGTGTTCTCTGATGTGTCTGACTTGGCTATTTTTCAGAGACCTGAGTGACAATGCCATTATGTCTTTACAAGGCAATGCATTTTCACAAATGAAGAAGCTTCAACAACTGTAAGTTTTTTCTTTTCCTTCCAAGAGTTCCAAATAAGGATAGAAGGGAAAACTGTAATATAGTGTGTCACCTTAGATTATGTGTCTAAAAAAAGTGTCTAGCACAATTTAACTTTACTTAATTTTTATACTAGAAAACAAAAGGAGTTGGGTGTTCGTTCCCTTTGTTGTAGCATGGAGTTTCTTTTTCTTTCTGTTTTGAATTTGCAACTTAAATTTGTGGGATCAAAATATAGTAAGGTCCCTAAAAATAGTAGCAATATTTTAGAAGTCAGGAATTTTGATATGTTAGCCTTCTGCCCCAGTAAGGCAAGAACATCAACAGTAATAGTAATGAAAACATACTAGGTACATTGCTTACATTTAAAATGGACTTCAGAATATTTATAACCATTTCTAAATTCATTGCTTTGTTAATATTTACTTTAGTTTACTTGTAGAAATCTGCATTTCATACTAAATAAATTGAACATAATTACTCTCCTCAGGCACTTAAATACATCAAGCCTTTTGTGTGATTGCCAACTAAAATGGCTCCCACAGTGGGTGGCAGAGAACAACTTTCAGAGCTTTGTGAATGCCAGTTGTGCCCATCCTCAGCTGCTAAAAGGAAGAAGTATTTTTGCCATTAGCCCAGATGGCTTTGTGTGTGGTGAGTATAAGTATTGCCCTTGATTTTTTTCATTCTTTTTTTTCATCCTATTTGTCCAAAGAATGGTTTTGAACAGACATATGTTCTCTTAATAAATCTTTCTTTTCTGCTGAGATAGATGAAAATGGATCTATAGCTTGCTGATTATTCGAATTTTACAGATGGGAAAGAGAGTTCTCTAAAACTTCTTTGTTTTGGCATCAGAGTGGTTTGGTGGAAAGAGAATGAAATTGGATCTTGGGAGAACTAGAGGACATTTCACTGAAATTTCCAAAATCTTATAGTCTCTGCATCCATGCAGTGGAGGCTCTGCTACTCATTTTTAATATGTATTGCTCTTTTTTTCAGTAGATGGGGAGTTAATTGCTGTCTTTGTTGATTTTGATTTTTAGGTTTGATGCTTGTTTTCTTAGTTTTGCTGCTCCTTAATTGTGGAAAACAGGAAAAATTGCAGTTCCTGATAGTGGTATTCAAAGGTGGTCCGTGAGCCTGGAAGTTTCTTAACTGCTTCCTCCTCCACTCTAGTGCTTGTTGAGAGGCTCATAGGAAAAAGAAAGTTAAGTAGCTAAGGATTTATGGGCTGCTGAAAAATGAGCCATTGGTTGGGAAAACCGTTACAAGTAACAGCAAATTTGTATCTGTTATAAATAATTCTAAAGTCTATTATTTAGCACCCAAGGATTTCAGCATTAGAAGTCTTCTTACCCAGACTTCACACAGCTAGCTAGTGGCAGATCTTGATTAAAATTGTTAAGTTTCCATCTCTGATCCAGTTTTTTTGTCTATTACATTATATTGCTGTTTACTATTAGTTACCAGGGAAACTGTTATAAAAACAAATATGGATATAAAACATGAAATCAAAATTTACTTAAATTTAAGCCTATGTGTGAAGGTATTATAGAACCATATTTTACATTGGCATTTAAGAATGTACTCAACGCTGCTTGGCCTACAGTATTTTCTTTTTTAGGTTGCAGCATTAAGTAGTGCCAGCAGTTTCTGGAAATAAAACCTCTGATGTAGCTTTTGGATGCGAATAAGCTTTTGGCATTCATCCGTAAGGGCCTGAGATGTTCCTTTCCCATGGTCCCTGTTTTACAGTTCTCTAGTGCCAAGATATGAACTCCTCTTACTTTGAGAAAAATATATATTGTCATAATTTTTTTGAATCTGAATCTGGACATTGATTTATAAGATGAGAATTTCAGAATAATGGTACATAAGATGAAACTAACTGCCTTGCTTACAACCTGCAGACATCACATTGAAAATTAGCATTGGAGTTATCAGAGGGCCCCCCCCTTGCTCATTCACATGCATAAAAATTACTTTTCAGACCCCCCAAAGAATATACACGTTGGTAAATCTGAGATGTTTCTGTCTGGTTTAGAACATCTCTGAGAAACTGAAGTTCTCAAAAGAGGTAGCTTTTCCGAAAAGTAAGAGAGAACTAAAAATAACTGTTTGGAATGAAAGAGTTGCTCAGCTCTAATTATAATGTAGCTTTGACAGGGCAGCAGAGCGACATGATTGATTGGCTGCTCCAAACTCCTGGCTGGAGCCAGTGTCTCACAGTGCGACTTGGAGATGCTTTTCTCTTCACTAGAAGATTTCTTTTTTTTGGCTCTACCTAAATTACTGCTTTTTAACATTGGCTCTGTTTATGGTAAATGGGGTGTTAATTGCTTTCTTTGGTGATACTGATCATTATGATTGATGTTTGGTTTCTGAATTCTGTTGTTTCTTATTTGTGGAGAACATGGGAGAAATTGCGGTTTCTGATGGTAGCACTCAAAGATGGTCCATGAGCCTGGAAGTTTAACTGCTTTCTTTCTTTTTTAAAAAAAATTCCTAATTTTAATTAACACATAGTAATCATGCATATTTATGGGATGCAGTGTGACTTTTCAGTGCATGGCTGTAGCGTGTAATGATCAGATCAGGGTAACTGGACCATTTATCACCTCAGATACATATCATTTCTTATGCTGAGAACATTAGAAATCCTCTATTGGCTCTCTCCTTTTGAGACTGGATCTTGATGAGTTGCCTAGGCGGGCCTCAAATTTACATTCTCCTTGTCTCAGCTTCCTGAATGCCAGGTTACAGGCATGTGCCACCATACCCACCTGTACTGGCTCTTTTGAAATAATCACTTCATTGCAGTCCACCTGTTAGCATGATGAATCACTCAAGTTTACATATTGTTTGACTTCCCCTGTGATTTCTTAACTGCCTTCTTACACTGATGCAAAGCACAAGACTTTTGGAATAAATGATGGGTTTTCTGATAGTTTCAAGGTAAGACTCTTCTCTCAGGTAACAGTGGTAGATAAATAGATATCTGTCTCTACCTGACACCAGTAAATGACTTTCTGAACACTCTTCCAGAGTATCCTTTCAACACAGGACTACTCATCGGTCTGCACAACATCAGCTTAGGGTCAGACCTGAGCTGCTGTTTGTTTTGCATTCCTTAGAGCTCAGATGTGAGCAGCACTTGGACTCTTGAGCATTCATGTTGTTTTCTTTCCTCCTCTCCATTTTGAACAGATGATTTTCCCAAACCCCAGATCACGGTTCAGCCAGAAACTCAGTCGGCAATAAAAGGCTCTAATTTGAGTTTCATCTGCTCAGCTGCCAGTAGCAGTGATTCCCCAATGACTTTTGCTTGGAAAAAAGACAATGAACTCCTGCATGATGCTGAGATGGAAAATTATGCACACCTCCGGGCCCAGGGTGGCGAAGTGATGGAGTACACCACCATTCTGCGGCTGCGCAGTGTAGAATTTGCCAGTGAAGGGAAATATCAGTGTGTCATCTCCAATCACTTTGGTTCATCCTATTCCATCAAAGCCAAGCTTACAGTAAATAGTATGTGATACACCTTTCCCTTTTGCATTTGGGGATGATGTTTAGAAACAAAGCACTGGTTCTGTCTCTGTCTCTGTCTCTGCCTCATTCCTAACCCTGTCCTTCTCATAGCTTCCCACCTATCTTCCTTTCTCTCTCTATCTTCCTTTCTACCTCTTACTCCATGAAATTAATACTCTTGGCTCTTTGTATCTAAGCCAGTGATTACTGAGGTCTGGCACACTGAACAGATTCGAGTTGAAATTGTAGGACCAAACACATCCTGAAACTATAAAATGTTAGAGCCTCTGGGAAGGACTTAGAAAAAACAATAAAGGGAATTCTCAGGGAACAAAGAGATTAGTTGATTTGCCCATGAGCTCACAGATAATTATTGAGTAAACTAAAAAGTGGCCAGAAGATAGCAGAATGACTTTTAGTCTGAGGGCCAGATGACTTGCATTTAATCCTGATTCATTTCTATACCTGTGTAACCCTAGGTGAGTTACTTCATCCTTCCATTTCAACTTTAGTTTCCATATCTTGAAATTATAAATAACCGCTGCTTTACCTTTGTCAGGGACATTTGTAAATACTTTTAAAGAAAAGGTGATAATGATGGGAAAGGAATCAAGTGAATCCTTGAAACACCATATGACATGTGCCTGCATTACTTTTGTGATTTCAGTGCTTCCCTCATTCACCAAGACACCCATGGACCTGACCATCCGTGCTGGGGCCATGGCACGCTTGGAATGTGCTGCCATGGGACACCCAGCCCCACAGATAGCCTGGCAAAAGGATGGGGGCACAGACTTCCCAGCCGCAAGGGAGAGACGCATGCACGTGATGCCCGAGGATGATGTGTTCTTTATTGTGGATGTGAAGATAGAAGACATCGGGGTATATAGCTGCACAGCGCAGAACAGTGCAGGAAGCATTTCTGCAAATGCAACTCTGACTGTGCTAGGTAAGAGGATTTCTTAAGACTTGGTAGAATGAGTCAGTTTTGAAGATACTGGCTCATTTAAAGGCTCTCAGTGCTAGAAGTAGTGAGGGGGACAGGTGAAGATCCATAGGACACTGCTCTTTCCCAGAAAGAACAAATGGTTTCTTAGAAGCTTTGAGGTCAGGGAGCTGTCTGTGGCCATACCACGCTGAATGCACCTGTCTTCTGAAGTTGCAGCATGTTAGACCTCAAGTCTGCAGCCAGGGAGATAAATCTGCCCCCTGTGTTTCAAGGAGAAGGGAAGGTAAAAGCTTTGATGGCTTTCCTTTTTGTGGGGATTATCCTCCTCTGCTCTGCACATCATGGTCATGCAGTCTTCACAAGCTTAACACTGTAGAGAACCTACAGGAAGTTAAGTGTGTGACCATATTGGGAAGGATTTGTTGTTCTCTTTTCTCAGCCTTCCATCCCACCCTGAGAATCAGAGCTCTTTTTTATCTTTTACATGAACAAATGCCTCTTAAAATTGTGAACACATTTATCATTCATATGTTCCTGAGAGAGTTAAAGGAACCTATTAAGATCCCAAATAAGAAAGGTAAATTAGTTTCAGAATGTTAATACAGACCTGGCACTGGAAGGTTTCACTTTAGAAGGTAAGCATTTAGAGGTTCGGGATGTGACTCAGTGGTGGAGTGCTTACCTGGGATGTTTGAGGCCCTAGGTTCCATCCCAGCAGTGCAAAAAGAAATAAAACAAAAATTGTTTCAACCACTTACTTCTCTTAATTTGTACCAGAATAAATAAAATTTTTTGAAAAGAAACATTCTTAACCTTTCCATCCATGAACACAGTCTTGTGCTTGAAATTATTTTATACATTTTCTGTGTTTTGTTTTGTTTTGCTTTGAGACAGGGACTCACTAATTAAGTTGCCCTGGCAGGGCTCAAACTTGTAAGCCTCCTGCCCTGAGCTTCCCAGAGTGCTGGGATTACAGATGTGCACAACTATGTCCAACATTTTCTGTTTTTAAAAGTGTTTTATCCTCTACTATCAATTCCCTAACCTAAGAGTGAGAGAAGTTGAGATAAAAATAGCTGTTATGCCTGCTGTTATGAGTAAATGACAGCAGAATGATGAAATCCCGAAGGTTGTGTTGTTTTTAGGCACTGAAGGAGCATATCTAGTAAGTTCTGGGAGCACAAAATTGGAGGCTGCAATTTGAATAAATGCAAAGTGCTAATCTTATCATATGGAAACCAGATTTCATTGAGAAAATTAAAAACATAAGTTGTCATTTCAGAAACCCCATCCTTCTTGCGGCCTCTGTTAGACCGAACTGTGACCAAGGGAGAAACGGCCGTCCTGCAGTGCATTGCCGGAGGGAGCCCTCCCCCCAGGTTGAACTGGACCAAGGATGACAGCCCTTTGGTGGTGACTGAAAGGCACTTCTTTGCAGCTGGAAACCAGCTGCTGATTATCGTGGACTCGGATGTCAGTGATGCTGGCAAATACACATGCGAAATGTCCAATACCCTTGGCACAGAGAGAGGCAACGTGCGCCTCAGTGTGATCCCTACTCCTACCTGTGACTCTCCTCAGATGACTGCCCCGTCTTTAGATGATGACGGCTGGGCCACTGTGGGTGTTGTGATCATAGCTGTGGTCTGCTGTGTGGTGGGCACGTCGCTCGTGTGGGTGGTCATCATCTACCACACAAGGCGGAGGAATGAGGATTGCAGCATTACCAACACAGGTGTGTAAACAGAAGCTTGGCACGGTATGCGGCAGTCATGTGTATTTGTGGTTCCACAGTCATTTTCTTCAGGAATGTGTGTGTCTCGCAGCCTGAGCCCATCTCAGAAGGGTGACTCATTTGTTTCAAGCTGTAGAAATACACTTAGCTAAAAATAACATGCCAGCTTGAAATAAAGCTGATATTTAAAGATTAATACTTTTTGTTAAAACCTCATCAGCACATCCTATTGGCTGTGAGATAAATCCAAATCACAGGGTGAAGTAATCTAACTCCTTTACCAGGCAGTAAGGAAACAGGAGTTGCCCTTGAGTTACAAGGTTACTCTGCAGTGATTATGCAGCCGGGTCCTGGGCAGGTTTACCTAGGGAGGACTTTAGCTCTGAATAAAGGAAGGGGCTATGATGGAACTAATCTGTGCAAACTGTCAGTGAAATCATGTTTAACTCAAGGGTGTAAGTACTCATCTATGAAAATTCTTGAGCCTTTATATTTTTAAACATTTGTTTCTGAAATGGGAGTGGCATCTGAAATTTGGTGAGTGATAATGTAAAAAATCAGCTTGTACTTTAAAGCCCTGATTTGCCTTTCCTGTACGCAGACATCAGGCTGGCTTTGCCGTAATACATCTTCCTTAAGTGATTAGCACAGAAACCAGTCCGTACTGTTCACCTGGGAAGGCTGTGGGACAGTGCCTGTCATTCTTGGTTGAGACAATACTGTTGATTGATTACAGATGAGACCAACTTACCAGCCGATATCCCCAGTTATTTGTCATCTCAGGGAACATTAGCTGATAGGCAGGATGGGTACATCTCCTCAGAAAGTGGAAGCCACCACCAGTTCATCACTGCTTCAGGAGGCGGATTTTTCCTACCACAACATGACAGTACTGGTAAGTGTTTAAGAAGACTGTGGGCTATAGTTATTTTGAAATCATATGGTGAAAGATTCAGATGTAATAATAATTTTTGCCAGAAATTGATGCACTAATATTTAGGACCTGGCCCAAGACCAATAAACAGGCTGAAATTACATAGTTACCTATCCTCTTAAATAATAGAAAAAAGTCTTTTTTCTGACAATAAAAGAAAACCACTATGTAAGATAAAATTTAATTTCTTCATACAATGTAATATTTCCTATACATTGTAAATGCTCTTTGGACTGGCCTGTCCTCCTTCCTTAAATGATGTTTGTCGTTTAAGTAGTGTAATGCATCGTCTCAAAAATCACATGATTTAAAGTGATTCTCTTAGAGAAATCTAACCCTGCCGCTTTCTTTGAATGCTGTGTGGATTTACGGGTAGCGTTGGAAGCAGCATAATGCAGGAGCAGGCTTGGTCCAAGACTATTCCCTGTGGACTTTGGGCATTCATGGTGCTTCCTTTCTAGGTGGTTGTGAAGATGAACTCAACAGAGAAAACTCTGAAGTAGATGCTATTGATGTTGTTTTCAAACATTTTACCATCTTTTGCCAAAAGCATTTATTGAGAATTTGCTCTATGCCAGACTTCACAGTTGGGAGGGACGTGTGTGTGTTTTCAGTTTCGTTTAGACATGCGTGAGACAAACTCTTACAAAACAATTGCAAAGTGCTTGGCAAACCAGTGATAGAGGGTATAGAGATAAAAGAGAAGATCTGAGCCTAAAAGAGAGCATTCTGTTTAGACCCATTTGGTGGCAAAGAGCAGAGACCAACCTCATTCAAATGAGTGGGCTAACTGAAAAGACATCGGTGAAAACCTCCCAGGTTGAGACTGGGCCATAGTAGTGGCAAGCTGCCTGGATCCAAGGCCCAGAGATGGGTCTGCTCCTAGAGCAGCTCTGGAGACCACCAGGACTGTTGAGTCACTTTCTGCATGTCTCCTTCTCTTTTGGACCGTGACCCACCTCCTGACCAATCACTTTCTACCTCCCAGGCACATGGCCCATCATGACAACCCTAACCTCAATGAAACTGTTTATCCTTGAACTGCTGTGTCTACCACTAATGGACATCTCTGCTTTGTGTTGTTTGATTTAATAACCCATGAGATGATTTTTTTTGCTGAACTCATCCTTGAGCCAGGAACTGACAGGTCATTGGTCAAATGCTAGTCCCTCATTCTGGTCCTCTGTGACATTTCAGAGGAAAAAGACAGTGCCAAAAGTTGTGGTTCAAGCTTTGGCTGCTTCAGCTGCAAGATACACACACACATATCTGTTTCCCTTAGAAACTAAATTGAGCCAGCAGTGTGGGTGACACACCCAGCTCAGTGGTTAAGCAAGTCCTCTTTTAGTGAACTGTCCCAAATCTACTCAATTGCTAATGCAAAAGTAAACCAAAAAAAAAGCCTATAAACTTCTGAAGTTTTCTCTTTTATACTATATTCTTGCCAAATATATAAATATAGGAAATGCTAAAATTTTAGAAAACTTGAATGTTGCTTGAATAAAACACGTGAATTGACTCAGAGTTTTGTTTTAAAGGAACCTGCGTTATTGACAACAGCAGTGAAGCTGATGTGGAAGCTGCCACAGATCCATTCCTCTGTCCCTTTTTGGGATCTTCAGGCCCTGTGTATTTGAAGGGGAACATGTATGGCCCAGATCCTTTTGAAGCCTATCATGCAGGTATGTGGCTTTCTTGCCTGAGTTCTGTTCTGTTTTCTAGAGAGACTTATAGAAGTGCTAACTACAGCTCTTTCTGATATGGCCCTCAAATTTTAAAAGGTTGCAGTGCTGACCGAAGAACAGCTTTAGTGGATCACTATGAGCCCAGTTACATAAAGAAAAAGGATTGCTACCCATGTTCTCATCCCACAGAAGAGTCCTGTGAGCAGAGCCTCGGTAACCTGGGGTGGCCTTCACATGTGAGGAAGCTCATGAACTCCAGTTACTCTCAAAATGAAGGACCTACAATGAAAAATTTGTGTCTAAACAAGAACTCTTCAGATTTTAGTACGAATCTGGAGCCAGCATCAGTTACTTCAAGTAATTCTTTCATGGGTAAGTTCAGTAAGGTGTTAGGTACCTTGTTTCCAGACCCATGCTGTAAGTTGCATGTGGAACAGCAAGAGCTTTGAATAGCTGGTGAAAACAGTTTTCTTAATGGCATTATTATGATACCCTAATATAAATGCCTCTAAATGCACAGTCTGAGGGATTTTGCTTGATTATGTATTCAATCTATAACTGAGCCATGGGAGCCTTCTGGGTAACACCATGTGTGGCATCAGAAAGACAAGAGCTCGGGGAATGACTTAGGAGCTGAGCTTGTCAGCCATGTGGAAAAAGTGGTTTTGGGCTCTAGCAGCATTTGGGGTGGAATTGTGTGCTTTGCATGATTGTGGTTTAGTGTGTCTGGTGGCTTCTAACTGAACCCGCAGCTAGAAGGGTGGAAAACAACATCCTACCTAGCAACAGCTGCTTAGTCAGACAACCTTTGGCATAGGACTACCTTTGACATAGGAGGCCTCCGGAGCCTTAAAGCCCAGGCGGGTAGTGTTAGATGCTGGCTGGCACCAAGATCAGATTGTGGATTTTTTGGTCTAGTGCATGAGAACAATGGGACAAAGCACTGAGATCCTCTTGTCGTTGAATGGAACAGTATGGGAAAATGAGCCACAACCTGTCTTGGTGTGTGTGTGTGTGTGTGTTTTTTTTTTAATAAAATGTAAAATTTTAAATTATTTTACCAAGCTTTTAAGAGATTTTATGTTTTGTCACAATATGATCATTTATATTTCTCCTTGAAAAAACTATGTTTTGCAGGGCTGGAGAAAGACTTGGAATCAATTGAGTACTATTTTGTTTCAGTTAAAGAAGAAAAGACAGGATTATTTTGAAATAAACTTTCTCTATCCAGACACAGTTTACTTGAATGTTATTATCCAGACTCACTTCGTGGAGAATTATTCCAGAGTTGAAAGGAGAATTTAGAGAGGAGGAAGGGACTTATATTGGCGAACTTCAGGAATTTCCTAAAACAACAATCCATACTACTGTAGGTCATGGGAAGTGATAAAGAATGGATGCATTTATTCAGTGGCTGTAAATAAGAGGCAGTGCAGATTCGTTTGTTGCATTGTACAATTGCACAAATACACGAAGACCTGAGTACCATAATGGGGACTTGTAAGAAAATCTTGGTCATGTTTATGGGCTAAAATGCTTTTTCATTTGCACTGTACTTTGTTGATTTGTATGTTAGCAAAAGGGCCCATGTGCTCAAAGTCTTTTTTCCTTTCAGGGACATTTGGAAAGCCTCTGAGAAGATCTCACTTAGAAGCTTTTTCAAGCTTTGGACAGCCATCAGATTGTCAGCCGAGAGCCTTTCACTTAAAAACTCCTTCTTCCCCTGACTTGAACTCTGAGTCAGAAGATGAAAGAGAAAGGACAGATTTTCAGGAAGAAAATCACACATGTACCTATGAACAAACCTTAGAAAACTACAGGACTCCAAATTTTCAGTCTTATGAGTTGGACACATAGACTGAATAAAATCAAAGAAAACTTTAACATACTACCTCAAGTGGACTTTTATTTAAAAGAGAAAGAATCCTATGTTTTTAAGTGGAGTTATGAATTTTAAAAGGATAAAATGCCTTATTTATACAGATGAACCAAAATAACAAAAAGCTATAAAAATTTTATACTGGGAGTAACTTTCGTATAAAAATACCTTTTAAAGTATTTTATAACTTTGTTTTATGCAAAAAATATCTTATGTAAATTAATGGTATAAATTCATGACTATTTTATGTATTTTTATAATACCAGATTTCTTTTTATTGAAAATAACTACTAAAGCCTTTTAAATAATATTTGTCTTGTACCTTTTTTGAATAGAGGTCACTTCATTTTATTTTGCACATTACATTTAATAAAATGTGTCATTTTGATTCCAAGCCCCATTTATACAATAATAATTTGTATTGTTTTTCAATACATGTTAGACTTAGTTCATGTTATCACCTCTCAAATTGATGATCTTATTTAACCCATTTAAAGTGCAAGTAAAAATGACCATTCTGCCTGCCTCCCAGGATTCAAATCACATTGTTGTATGTAAAAGCACACTGTAAATGAAAAGGAGCTACAAAGATTTCAGGTAACATTAATTTATTTCCAACTGTACAACAAAAGACAATTTGCTGTTATATTGTGGTGTACTATGGTATAACAGTCTTTGCTTAAATCACTGTTCAATCTGTTTCCTTTTGTGGTCTCGTGTTTTAGACTTATCCAAATAGTTTCACATTCACCATCCTTTGTCTTATAACGAGAGTGGTTTGTTGTGCATTTCTATAGCTGATGGCTATAGAAGAAAGTGGATTTTCATCCCTGTTCCAGGTCATAATGAGATCCTGATAGAATTCTTTTTTGTTCTTATTGATTTTCTGCTGGATGAGTGGTTAATATATATAAATGGTACTTCTAAGCTGTTCTGACACATTCTTTAAGAATTAACAAAATATTTTTCTTAATTAGTCATCCTAGCTCTATTATTTAAAAACCTAAATACTATTGAATCTATTATTTAAACACATAAAACCATTTAAAACATTAGTTTTAAATAATATTTGGTGAAATTATTATGACATGACAGGCCTGTGTACACAGAGAATACATCAAAGCATTTCAAAACTAGGTAACATTGTTCAGAATAATTAAATGGGCTAAACTTACTAAATTTAATAATTCAGGTTTAAAAACTAGACCTTTTGGTAAATCCTTTTGCATACATGTGGTTTAAAGAAAACTCTCTTGACCAGGATAAATTTAAGTTGGCATGAAAGGAGTTAATACAATATAACACTTTAAGCTTTAAAAACCTAAACTTGAAGGTGTGAATTTGTGCCACTGTCAGTGCTTTGAACTAAATTGAAAACAGCTTTTGGAAAACAAGATTCTTCTCAGTAGTGAGTTTAGACCTTTGTTGTTTGTGACCCATGAGCCCGAACCCAGATTACAATAAGATTGTCCTCCCTTAATTCAGACGCCATAGACCCAGAGAAGAAGTTGGGCCTTTCTTAAGCCCCCAGTAGCTTAGGAACAAACAAGTTATTCTGTGTGCTTTGGCTTTATCATACTGCCAGATTTTTGAAATCTTACTGTTAATTTGTCTTCATTATGGCCATATATGATGCAGTCATCGTTTGGGGCATTTGAATGATTATGCACTTCTTTTAAAGGTTTAATTTTTTCAGACTTCAGCATTAAAGTTTAAATCAGTAACGGAAATTTAAAAATCAGATTCATCAATATGATCTTACCCCTTTATTGTGTTTATGTGTTGAGACTTAAGGAGTAGATGTAATGTTAATTGTCTGGGAAAAGAAGAACTTGATTTCTCTCTGACATTTTCAGGAAAAGAAAATACATGATGTTGAAACTTTGTACGGAATTAACATAATTAATAGGTATTAAGATACCTTAAAATAACGTGAACTTAAGGGAAAAAGCAAAATGTAGGTAAAATGTTAAGTCACTTAGTTTATTTATTTTATATTTGTGATGCTGTGCATGCCAGGCAAGTGCTCTAACCCTGAGCTGCACTTCCAGTCCCCTAATCACTTTATTTATTTATGATGAAGAACACTTAATTATCTATAGTGTCAATAGTGGAATTAAAAAAAAATAGAAATTGTATGATCATCTATTAAGATTGGTTGTACATCAAGCTTAGTTTAATTTTTTTACATTTCCTGATATAACACTGCTTGATGTACAACCAATCTTAATAGATGATCATACAATTTCTATTTTTTAATTCCACTATTGACACTAGATGATTACTATATCATATTAAAGAAATATTCATTAATTATGGCAACATTTTATAAAAATTAGTTTATTGAATACATATAATTTTCATAGCCGTCCTACCACAAAAATACAACAATTATTTCTCAGAACAGAGCCAATCATAATGCTTTAAAAATATTGATAGAAAAAGGGAAAAGTGATATTTGATATCTGTCACACATGGGAGTTTTAGTCTTTTTTATTTATTTATTTTTTTGGTACCAGGGTTTTAGTCCTTTTGATAATGTGATAGAAGTAATTTATAGTCAGTGTTACAATAGGTATACTACATTGGTCTTTTTCAAAAAGATTAAGAACCAAATGTCAATGCAAAATTCTCTATCTGTCCTTCCCACTCTTGGTATCTGTTGTGATTGGATTTGTGTAAGAGGATAAATTAGAACTTACCATTTTTTAAGACGGCATTCTGTTAACACATTGAATAACACAATGTCCTGCCAAAAACACTATTAGTCTTCAAAGAAGGGATACAGTTTCTTCATGAGTTGAATAATTTCAGTCCTCCAGAAATACCCAGTTACCAGACAGAACTTAGCTTTTTCATGAGATATTTCTTAAATAATATATAAGAGAATGCTATAACAGTCTTGAGACATTTCATATTTGACCAAAAATAATGGCACAGATGTATTTTGGTTTTGTTTTCTGTTTTTGCTTTTTTTTTTTGGTGGTGGTGGTGGTGATATTTTGAATTGAACCCAGGGCCTTGGTGCACAGCTGCATACCTAGCTGTTTTATTGGTAGTAGTATTTCTTTTTTAAGTTTTGAGACAGGTCTTGCTAAATTGCTCACTCTGGGCTTGAATTTATAATCCTCCTGCCTCAGCCTCTGAGAGTGTTGAGATTACAGGCCTACACCAACATACTGGCTTGATACTTTGTTTAATAGAGGGTTTGTTCCCATATATTTAAGGAATTACCCCAATATTTAGGACTATTTTTTAAAGAAATCTGGTGGTGGAATATCTTTTGATAAATGTGTTTGATTTCACACAATTTATCAATTCCATTATTATAGCAATACTTACACTATTTGGTGTTAAAGAATTCTGCATCTGAATTCCATATCCTCCCATATGTTAGATATCTGTGAATGCAGGAGAACTAACCAATATTTTAGTGTAGCTTTTTATTAGAATTCCAGTTTTTAATTAAAGAATTTGTAATAATACATTTTGAAGAATAAAAGCAATTCACGCTGTTACAATTTAATCCTTGGGTTTCTTCTACAATTATTTTCTCTTTTCCATATATCTTTGTTGGGTTTTGTGGTTTAACAGATTTAACATCTTTCTTAAAACAGGTTTGAACGCAACACCTAGTATCTTCCTGAGTTTTGGTTATTGTTTTAGTGGATTTGTTTTTGTGGTTCTGGGGATTGAATTCAGGACCTCACACATGCTAGCCAAGTGCTCACCACTGCTACTTCAGCCCTGTTGGTTCTGAAACTTCTACATGCGACCTTTTCCTTTTTTATCTATCTCCAACTCAAGAGTTTAAATTTGGTCACACACTCTTTCATTAAACATTTTTTATGTACTTAGTTGTGTATTTTCCCCAGGTGATGTGAAAATGACCAAAATGATTCTTGTCCTGATTGTCAGTGGGCCAGGAATCAGGTGTGTAATTAAACAACTGATGGCACTGTGTGTTAAGTGCTGTAGCATAGTGGGCCCCTGTAACTGGCACTGATTTTCTATCTAAGATGTTTGCTTTCTAACTGAACTACCTGAAAGTATTACATGAACCTCACTCGCCATTTACCGGACTAAGCTGATTATCTGTTTTTGCCAGATGCATTCCAGAACAGTTCAGTTCAAGATCTGCCACTCCCTTGTTTAGTCATCTACAATCATATTCCTGTTGGTTTTGCACCTGAATTTTTTCAAGGCCGTTCACATCTTCCCACTTATCTCATTGCCACAGCTAAAGTTTAGACTCTTACCTGTGTCTGACAGCAGTGTCTTAACTGCTCTTCTTATCCCTTATCTATTCAAATTATTGTCTTCACTGTTACCAGAAATGTTTTTCAAAAAATAGATATGAATGGGTCACCTACCTGTTTAAAAACCTTAATGGCTAACACTAAATTCTTTCAGTACACAAAATCTTTCACATGCTGATTCCAGCCCTCACTCAGCCCCACACCACTCCCAAATTTTCAGCCATACAGTACACTTTTATCAGCTCCATGCACAATGTCATTTCACAAACTAAATACCCTTGTACATGATATGATCTCATCTTTGCTTCAGCAAAGCATTTAATGAGTGGCTACTCTGCTAGGTAATGTCTTAATGTGCTATGGCTATGATAACACTGTTTAATGTCCTTCCTTCAAGAAACCCTTGGTCAGATAGACAAGAAAACTGGTGCTCTGAAATGTATCCCTACCATCTCTCAGCTGGCAGAATCCAACTCTTCCTTCAAGATCAAGATTTTGTTTTTATCCCAAGCATAGCAGCTTTTCTCCCATAGAACTCTCTATATAAATGGCTATGATAAAATCACAGGGAAGCAGACGGTTACAAAGCCAGCTATGATGTGGCTATGATGTCATTTGACAAGTACTACAAAAAGGTTAACTTGTGTGTCAATAGGACATTGTCTAGAAGGAAAGGAAGTTGCTATGTGCTGGATGTTTGGACCCTGGTGTAGTTTGGTAAGAGGTTGTGGGTTACAGTACAATGTGATTGGGTTATTGGGCATCATCCTAAGAATGGATTAAATAATTCTTGTGGAACCCCAGTGAGATCTTCCAGAGTGAGTTATTATAAGAGTGAGGCTGGCCCCTCCACACACTCTACTTGCCATGTGTTCTACCTCACACACGCCCCTGCCACTGTGATGCCACCTACCAATTGGTCTTTACCAGATCCAACACAATGCCCTTAAACCTTCAAAACTGTGATCAAAGTAAGCTTTTAGTTCCCAGTCTCAGCTGTTTCATTACAGCAACGGCAAAGAGACTAATATGCAAATCAAAGGTTCTGTGTGTTGAAGTATTTTTGTTTTTGTTCTTGTTTGTTTTTAAACAATCACCAGATGACCTGGCCTAACACTTAGCAGGAAAATCACACAAGTTCAGTGTACTAAACAAGTAGTGCATCAAGAAATCTTTGTTTCTGTAGGAGCAGCAACTGGCTCCACATGAAAGAGGATGGAGCTTGTATGGGAACTCGAAAGATGTCACTGGAGGGAGAGATTGCTGCCCTCCATCTTTAAGCTCTAATGTCCTCAACTTATAAATACTGTTATCAAAGTCCAACAAAATAGTATCTCTCTCTTACTTTCCTCATTCAAGCTTCTTAAAAGCGTAATTTCTTTCCAATCTAAGGAAATAAGAGTTTTCTCAAATTCAATTGAAATTCCTTTGCCAGAATCA